AGGATTTTGTGCTTGCTTCTGTTGGATCTCGAAGGTTCGGGAAGGTCTTTGATACTTCCCGTATCAAAGGGCTTCCCGTGATTTGGGAATAATGATGTCCGACGACCTAACGTTTAGGGAGCATAATCAAGCAAGTATTGCATCAGCCAGAAAAATGATAGGATGGATTACGAGAACCTTCAAGTCCAGAGATCCCATCACAATGGGTGTACTCTTCAAATCACTTGTGTTGTCCCGTCTTGAGTTCTGCTCAGTACTCACTTTCCCCTTCAGAGCAGGAGAGATTGCTGAAATAGAGGGAATACAGAGAACATATACAGCACACATAGACGAGATAAAGCACCTAAATTATTGGGATCGTCTCAAAGCTCTCCAAATGTACTCACTAGAAAGAAGACGAGAGAGATACCAAATAATATACACATGGAAAATACTGGAGGGACAGGTCCCAAATCTGCACAGTAAAATAACAATGTACTGGAGTGAACGACATGGAAGAAAATGCAGAATAGAACCAGTGAAGAGCAGAGGTGCCATAGGCACAATCAGAGAACACTGTATAAACATCAGGACTGTTTCCTGGAGTGAAGGCCTGGTCAAGGACCGGGCCGCGGGGACATTAAGCCCCGAAATCATGTCAAGATAACTTCAAGATCCTGAGTTACTTTACAATTTATTTAAATATTTTAGTTTTGTTTTATAAAACTGTAATATCAATACAGTATAGCTATAGGTTAAGTAGTAATTGTAATTAAGAAGCAATAAAATGCTTATCTTAAAAAACTAAGACTGTTAGGTTAGTCGTGGTTTCTATTCAGCTTTTCGGGTAAACTCAAATATTCACAATATATTTGACAGTACGATTTAATACTAAGTGTAAATAAGTACAATTCCTGACTGTCATACATAGTACATAATTGCACTTATGGGACTGTTACAGTTACCTCCCCATTTTTGGAGGAAGGGCTGGGGTTATTCAGTATCTGCAAGCAGCTTCTATTAGTTGTGCTGGTTTACCAATCGGGTTGGTCTGACTTTGACGGTTGTTCTGTTTTTTTTCGGGGACTGCATCCCTTCCGCCTCTCTCGCAATCGTTGGGTTCGGCCTCCGGGGCCTTGTGTCTATTGCTGCGTTGCCGGCTTCCTCTTCGGGATTCATTGCCGTTGTACCTCCCTGAGCCCTCTCTCAGTGTGTTTACGGATGCGTCGTCTCTTGGCTGGGGTTTTGTGACCAGTGTTCACCAGACCGGCCAGGGGCGGTGGGGTCCGTTCTTTTGTTGGGCTCACAGCACAGTACACGAATTCACGATGGTGTGGATGTTGCTTTGGAGGGTTCGTGTCGCTCGCAGATCGACGATCTGGCTCTATTCGGACTGCTCCCTGGTGGCTCATTGCCTGAATCGAGGGGGTTTGATGTGGTCCTTGGCTTTTTGGGGCTGGTTGCTTTGAGTGACTCATCTGCTGAGTTCTCAGGGTTTGGCTCTCCTGGTGGTTCACATCCAGGGGGTGTCCAATATCCTAGCGGATGACTTGTCCCGGTTCATTCCCCTGTCCATGGAATGGACGGTCGACACCGACTCGTTCAGGTGGCTCTGCCGGACGTACGGGCACCCAGAGGTAGACCTCTTCGTATCGGCATGGTCGCGGCGTCTCCCGGTATGGGAGACCCCTGCACCCCTTCACCCCTTCTTGCAGGCATGAGTCACAAAAATGTGGCTGAAGTATGTTGACCAGACCTCACACTAGAAAGTGAAGGGACGACGACGTTTCAGTCTTTCCTGGACCATTCTCAAGTCAATTGTGAATGGTTCTGAAACACCCCTTCTTCTTCACCCCTTCTGCAGTGAAGAGCAGAGGTGCCATAGGCACAATCAGAGAGAACTGTATGAACATCAGAGGTCCACGGTTGTTCAACATCCTCCCAGCGAGCATAAGAAATATGGCAGGAACAACCATGGACATCATCAAGGGGTAACTAGATTGTTTCCTCAAAGGAGTGCTGGACTAACCAGGCTGTGGTGGGTATGTGGGCCTGCGGGCCGCTCCAAGCAACAGCCTAGTGGACCAAACTCTCACAACTCAAGCCTGGCCTCGGGCCGGGCTAGGGGAGTAGATGAACTCCCAGAACCCTATCAAGCAGGTATCAAGCAAGTATATGTGGCACCCTTCCCTGACAGTGAGGCTTCACAGTGGATGCCTTTCAGCAGGACTGGCCGAGGTGGGGTTACCTGTGCCTTTTCCCCAGTCGAGCTGTTGCTTCGGGGTTCTGGCTCATTTGGTGACTTACTAGGGAAAAGTAGTCCTGTTGACCCTTTGGTGGCTGGCCCAGCCTTGATTTCTGGTGCTGCTTGGTTGGTGTCTTAACCCGGGGACTTTTTTGCGGGTCTGCCTCTTTCAGCAGGTTGGTCCGGTACATGGCTGGTTTGATCTCCTCCTCCAATCTTGGCTTCTGGTCTTTCTGACGTGGGTTTATCACCTTTTGTATGGTGATCAGGTGGCTTCTTTGATGGTGTCCCACCTGCGAGTTTCGTCTCGGCGGCAATACAGGCATACCTCAGAATACGAGTTTAATCCGTTCCTGGAGACGCCTCGCCTTCCGAAAACTCGCATTCCGAAGTTAATTTCCCCATAAGAAATAAAGGGAAATGAATTAATCCGTTCCTGACTACCCCAAAAACCCCACATCAAACTAAATTTTTATACCTAATTTACCTAATTCATCTAAATAAACCTACAAAACTGTGTTCCAGTTATTACTTACCTTGCTGTCGAGTGCTGTAGGCGTATGGAAGATGGTGAGGAGGGGGGAGGAGGAGAGGAGTTACTGTTTGGAAGGGGAGTCCCCTTCCATAATCACATCACATAACCCCATGCCTTGTAACACTATGGATACCACTTCTCTTTCTAAATTTTTCAAACCAGCCCCTGCTTGCCTTAAACTCTTTCTTATCTGCATCACTCGTTGCAGGGGTATTCTTTAGAAGGTCTTCGTGCAACACCCTGGCTTTCTCACAAATAATGGCCTCCGAAACACTATCACCCCTCAACTCCTTGTCGTGTATCCAAATTAATAACAACTTTTCCACTTCTTCAAGTATTTGTGGTCTTTGTGCCGTTAATGTTCTTACTCCTTTTGCCACTTTAGCACCCATAATCTTATTTTTCTTCTTAAGTATAGTGCATATTGTTGATGTGGCTTTGTTGTACTGCCTACAAAGTTCAACAACACGTGTACCGTTCTCATGCTTCCGAATGATCTCTTGTTTCTCCTCTATTGTCATCCTCACATGAGCTTTCTGCCCTTTATCCTTACCACTGGCTTTCTTGGGACTCATGGTGAGATATATAATAACAAATTGTATAGACAAATCACCAAAAATCCAACAAAACACTGAAAATCCGCGAGAAGAATTGATGTGGGGGTAGTCACTGAGCGCGAGACAATGGTAAACTGAGGGGCGGAGGGGCGACGATCGCCGAACCACCACGCGCTAGGTCGGCCTGTATGCGTATCAACAAACTCGCGTCCCGAAGTAACCCTCGCCTTCCGAGACAAATTTTTGGAGTGAATACTGCTCGCCTTCCGAAAACCTCGCATACAGGGACCGAGGTACCACTGTATGAAGTCTCCTGGCGGTCATTTCGTTACTTTTTGTCTCTTCGTAGATTGTCTTCAGTTCCGGATTGGGTTGGCATGTCCTTTCTCTCTTGGTTGTTTCATGACCGTCATCTTATGCCTAATACTGTCGCCTTGTATTGTGCGGCTCTGGCGGAGCCTGCTTGCGTTCGGGGTGGATGTCACTTCCACCCCATTTTGCAAAGGTGCTCTCTTTTCTCTTTTCTCCTAGGTTTGTGGTAGCCCTTCGGTTCGGATGAAGAATGAGACGGCGGCTTTCCGGGGTGTTCTTGGGTGGTTGGTTCCGCCGGGGATGCATCATGTGTTGTGTCCGGTTGCGGCTCTTCGCCATTATTTGTGCACCACAGCCTCTATGACTGACCAGGGACATGCTTCGAATTGACCCTGTTTCCCTTCTTCACTGTTCCTGAACTCAGGTCTCCCAGGTCGTCCCCAGGGGGTAATTCGATCCAGCCAGTCTGCAGGCTATCCTCATTTGGTAATATGTTTTGGGCTGACATTCGGGCACGGGGTTTTTTGAGATCGAACAGGGTCCTGGCCGCCAGTTACCTCGTTGATGTTACTGGCTGTCGTTGGGCGTGTGTCGCTTTGGGTCGCAAGTTGCAGCCAGTTGTTTCGACTTCGAGTCGAGATGCAAGTGGCGGCCGCCTCCCGGGTAAGTCCCTCTACTTGTTCTGTGGTTAAGTAGCTCCGGGAAGCTGGAGGGGTTCGCCACAGAAAACCAGCGTTGAACCTAATGAAATGCCATTTTCTGGGCGAGTCCTGGAGGCACCCCGGCAACCCTCCCTTCATCTGGTCGACGGTTTTTGCGTTTTGATTTTCAGCCTCTGAACTGGGGTTAGGTAGCCGGCGTGAGGGGTCTTTGGGCTCCTCCTTCCCCTCCCAGAGAGGGGGTGGAGCTGCACAGACAGCAACGCAGGAGCAGTTGTGATGTCATACTTGTTTGCTTGTTTTCAGATTTGTGGAGTTCTTCTTGATAGTTTGGTTTTCGGTAGCAATTTTCACCAGGTGGAGTCTATTTTGGGACGCCTACCTTCCTGGGTACCTAACTTGGTAGATGGTATACATAGAATGCTTTCAATCACATGGGGGTTTCTACAGGTCATTGCTCCTCGTGCCTCTCTGAGGGGACCAGGTTCTGGCTCGTGGTCCCCAGTAGGCTAGAACTCCAATCGAATTGACTGGTGCTACGGTCTAATATATGCATATCAGCCCATTATAGCTCCGGGGAGCCTCCAGGACTTACCCAGAAATTGGAGTTTCATTACATTCAATGCTGTTTTTCTTAGTAAATTTCTTCAGTCTAAATGTTATAATCTTGAATGTTTTAAATCTTGATAAAACAAAAATATCTTTAATTTTAGGAGTGCAGGTTACACTAGTAGACCCAGGAAATGTTTGGACCAAAATTTATCGTCACTCTTGGCAGTTGTGGAGTGAAATCTTCACCCGTTTAAAGTGCTACATTTACATGAGAAGTCCAGAGGAGGGAGCAGAGTCAACCATACATGCTCTTAATGCTCCACACATTGCAAGTGGGCAGTACATTGAGTAAGTATGTTACTTCAGATGTTTATATATTTCTATAATCACTGTGCTTTATGTTAGTGTGTTCATCTTTTGTTCCATTTTCTTCCTCAAATTTTGATGTGTGTAAATACTGAAACATTTATTAGGTAGAAAGAAGACTTAACTATGGGCGATTTAAAAAAAAAGATAATGCACACACTGTAATAAGCCTTATGCTAACATGCCCTTGGCTCTAAGAAATATTTGAAGTTATCATCGATATTCTATATTCCATGTTTGCTAACTTTAATGTAAATGTTCTTGCAGCAGCAACTTGAACATAGAGATTAAGGAGAACTATGATTGTGAAGTAGTCAATCAGTTCATAGCCAAGTGTGCAGCACTGGTCGACCTGCCTCGCATCTCTCCGTCATTCCACCTGCAGCAGCTGACACCATCTGACTGTTAACATTACTGAATGATGTGCTATTGTTTTGTTTTATATAAGGTACAGCAAACAATGTATTATTTTATATATTAAAGTATGTATTGTGTCAAATATACAGTACAGTATTGTTGTAATACTACAAAACTTATTTCAATAGATTTAGGTGAAACTAATTTTCAGTACTATTTTTGTATTTTAATAATTATTGTACATGTATTTCAAATATGTAACTGAATTAGAAACAATTCTATACACTGTATATGTATAATTTTATCTTCTGATTTATTGTTTAGACCTATTTTTGCTTATTCATATATGTATATGTATAGTAAACTAACACATTCAAGAGCCTTGAATATTTAAAAGATAAATTTGTCTTGATAATATCAATTTTGAGAATATTTCATAAATACAGTGTATGTATATTTTTGTTTCTATTTCTTCATTGTACACACAATTCAGGTAAATCTTAACAATGAGAAAAATTAGTATTAATTGTTGGGGACAGGTAGATGTGGAGGAAAGGCGTCATTATAGAGGTAAAGCTGGGCCGAGAGAGCAGGCCAAGATACACGTAGATGTTCGAGATGTTGTGTGTTCATGTGATGTGGCACTGTTGGCCTCCCAGTACTTGAGAGGTGAAGGTGTAGACACACGGGTGTTTGGAGATGCTGTCACTGCTGTAGACCGGGCTCTGGAGCTGGCCCTCTCACTTATGGTTGATGAAGAGACAGCAATATTAAATATCAGTATTCCAGGAAAACATGTCAGTGATGATCATACTGAGATGGTTGTACTCTCATGTACTGTGTCATTAAGCATTGTTGAGAATGGGAAATTAATGTTTGAATTCACTCCCAAGGAAAAACTAGCAATTGCTGTCAAATATAAGACTATGGGCAGTGGTCTTTACAAAGAAGGTAGTAAAGAAGGTTGTGTTTCAAAGCAAATATCTGCTTTTTTTTTCTTTAGAAATGCAGTAAAGTGGATCACTATGATAAATGCAGATGAATCTGAGGATATTTTAGGAGAAATAAGTGAAATAAAATCTCAATGTTACAATAATCTAGCCTTGTATCATCTACATCGGCACCATTACAAACTTTCTGTTGCTGCAGCTACAACTGTCCTCATTATGGATAATAAAAATGTCAAAGCCTTGTATAGACGGGCAGTGGCCAACACTGCACTTCAGAATTATGAAATAGCTATTGATGATATTGAAGCAGCCTTAGCCATTGATCCTAATAATGGACCAGTTAAAAAACAGTGTGATATAATAAGAAGAAAACAGAGAGCAATGTCAGTGAAATATGCTAATGCACTGAAGAAACTTTTCAGTTGAGGATGATGTGTTACCAGTATAGGACGTTATTCAAGCTTAAGAAAAATCATTAGTTATGTAAGGAACTCTGAAGTGTGTTATAGAATTTTTGTATAAATGTTTGAAGTTAAAATTTACATACACATACCTGTTTTGTTAATCTATTATGGCATAACTTGAAGTATAAATCACTTTCATATCCATGCACTGGTCTTTTCTGTGGAGAGCCGCTCCGCCTCCCCAGAGCTATACTGGGCTGATATGCATGTATTGGTCCATGGCATCAGTCAATTCGATTGGAGTTCTAGCCTACCAGGCCCCCTCAGAGAGGCACACAAGGAGCAATGGCCTATAGAAACCCCCACATGGTTGGAAGCATTCTATGCTGCCATCTACTGGGTTTGCCACCCAGAAAGGTGGGCATCTCAAAACAAACTTCATCTGGTTAGAATTGCTACCGAAGACTAAACTTGAAGCAGAACTCCACAATCTGGAAGCAAGCATGACGTCACAACCGGCACCATGCCGCTGTCTGCACAGCTCCCCATTCCCAGGAAGGGGGAGCCCCAGACCCCTCGCACCGGTCATCCAATCCCAGTTCTGAGGCTGATATACTCACCTAGTTGAGCAGGCAATGAGTCACAATAATGTGGCTAAAGCATGTTGACCAGACCACTAGAAGGTGAAGGGATGATGACGTTTCGGTCCGTCCTGGACCATTCTCAAGTCGATTGTGTCGATTGTCACAATCGACTTGAGAATGGTCCAGGACGGACCGAAACGTCGTCGTCCCTTCACCTTCTAGTGTGTGGTCTGGTCAACAAAAATCACCTAGTTGAGCTTTGGCTCTTTGGTCCCACCTCTCAACCGTCAATCTACTGGTGTACAGATTCCTGAGCTACAGCTACATCATATCTACATTTGAAACTGTGTATGGAGTCAGCCTCCACCACATCACTTCCTAGTACATTCCATTTACTAACTACCTTGACACTGAAAAAGTTCTTTCTAATGTCTCTGTGACTCATTTGAGTACTCAGCTTCCACCTGTGTCCTCTTGTGTATGTACCATCCATGTTAAATAATCCATCCTTGTTTATCCTGTCAATTCCCCTGAGAATTTTGTATGTGGTGATCATGTCTTCCCGAGCTCTTCTGTCTTCCAGCAACATGAGGTACAGTTCACGCAGCCTTTCCTCATAACTCATGCCTCTTAGTTCTGGGACTAGCCTAGTGGTATACCTCTGAACTTTTTCCAGCTCCACCTTGTGCTTAACAAAGTATGGGCTCCATGCTGGGGCTGCATGTGTGATATAAAAAGTTCTGAAGGATTCCTGACACAGGTTTCTGAGGGCATTTCTGATGTAAGCCAGTCTTGCATACACCACTGATGTTATTATTTTGATGTGGGCTTCAGGAGACAGGTTTGGCGTGATATCAACTCCTAGATCTCTCTCTCTGTCCGTTTTGTGAAGGACTTCATTTCCCATTCTGTATCCAGTGTCTGGCCTCCTATTTCCTCCGCCTAGTTTCATCACCTTACATTTACTTGGGTTGAACTTTAGTAGTTATTTGTTGGACCATTCCTTCAGTTTGTTTAGATCATCTTATAACCTTATAATATCTTCTTCTGTCTTAACACTTTCAGTGACCCGGCGCGCGCTTCCCACACCCTCCCAAGGTGGGCCTAGCATTTCCCGTGAGCTCGCGCCCAAACTAAAATGTGTATACTCTGTTTAAGTTTTCGCACCTAAATTATTGTGCTACATTATTCATTTTGGTATCAAATTGTTTATAATAGAATTCCCTAAAGGGATATAGGTATATAAGAACATTACCAATACATTGGCCCAGCGTGCCACCCACAAATTGGCCGAGCATTGCCCATGAGTGAGCAACCAGACTAAAATGTGACTAAAACCAGACTCTTTTCAATTTTTATCACAGAAATTCTTGTGCTATGTCTTACATTTTGGTATCAAATTGTTTGCAATAGAATTCGCTACTGGGATATATCAATATAAGGTAAAAAAAAGCTCGGCGCTTCACCTCCCGCAAAGCCGATATTTAGCCGAGCGATACCCTTGAGCGAGCACCCATTGTCACCCGCAATACCCCCCCACACAAATGCATATATAATATTTTGATAACATAAATTTTTGTGTTACATCATTCATTTTGTTATCAAATTGTTCGCAATAGAATGCTCTAAAGGGCTGTATGTATATATAAGGTCAAATGGAAGAACAACATTACCAATACATTATTTGTGACACAATATCATTCTTTTTTGTTACTTTCTTCACATAAGTGTTTTTCCCACATTATCATATGTATAAATAAAAAAAATGTGTGTACTTACCACCCAATGATGATTGTAGAGCATGAGTTGAGTATTAGATTGAATCATTCCACCTGCTCCAGGAAAAGGTTTCCTGAAGTTTCTTAAGCCATGTTTAACAGGTGGAGAGTAAGCACTACTGCTTAGCCACCCAGTATGTCCTCTTGTTATGGTATGTGCTGTAGCACGGTGCAGCACCGTGACACACCACACGACTTGCACTTATACTTGGGGTCCTTCCTTTTACTAAATGTGTAGCAAACATGACATTTCAGACTTCTCTCGATGCGAATTTGGGAATGGTTCAAGATCCTGTTCAGACATTCTGGTTTATCCACAATATGAGGGTTTCTCCTAGCAGCACCACCAGGAGGAGTAATCTGACTCTCCTCTTCTGGGGTCAAATGATGAATTTTCATCTCGAGGCGAAGATGGGAATAGTGGCCGCCTCACACGTGATGGTCCAGGTGTTGCAACATTTTCACCAGTAGATCTGCTCTCATGTACATCACGAGCATGTATGACGATGATGTCATTTTGGAGAGGCCAATTCTTAGACTCAAAATTCAGTAGTGACGAAATGATCACTTAGTGGAAATTGAGCAATGTGAGTTTCTTTGTATCCATTGTGTAGTAATTGTATAACACAAAGCATTATGGATAGCTATTTGCACAAAGTAGAATGTGATTTTCTTCGTCCACTTGTGACTTTTCCGTGTGAAATAATATTTTAACATTTGGTCGAAGTGATCAACACCTTTCCATGTAGTTACTGTGGGCACAGATTTTGTGTGTTCACAGTGACTTGTTGCAATGAGGATGTTCCGTCAGGTGTGCGTACTTGTTTAATTCGTTCCACTTCTTGTGTATCTGCTTTGTGGCAAGTTGTGAGGAGTGAAGCAACACTCTTAACTTTCCACAGAATTGTAAAAGTATTATTACACACAGAGATCACACTAACGTGATGCATCAAATGAACAAATCCACAAGGGGATTTGTGTATCAAATGAACAAATTCCTTGTGGATTTGTTCATTTGATGCATCACATTATTGTGATCTCTGTGTGTAATGATGTAAGGGCGAAGAGGGAGAACGGCCTATTGACATGGCTCGAGTGCAGGGGGGAGTTGTGTAAAACCCTGGTTTGTGCCTCGGAGAGGCTGCGAAAGTAAGTTCAGAAGAACTTCGGTTTCAACTCTTTTAACCCTGTCGTAGCTCAGTCGATTAAGGCAGTGTTTGGGATGCTCCCGGACGCAAGTTCGAATCCTCGTCACGGCCCTTGTGGATTTGTAAAAGTATTGTCCTTCTATTGGAATACAGTTTTATCTACAGTACTGCTAATTTACCCTTTACTTGTAGCTAAAGATCTTTTGGTGGACCAAACTGCAATCTGAGAGTACCGCAGGTGTATACACCTTTTTCAAGCAGCTCTTCACACAGTTGAACAGAATTATAGTAGTTATCCATATATAAATGGTAACATTTGTTTGTCAGTGGATCAATCAAGCCCATAACCGTCTGAATCGTTGTCTTCCCAATTCCTGCATACACTTCAAAATTATAGATGTAACCAGTATGGGATTGAGCTAACATATACAGCTTCACTCCAGACTTACCAGCTTTATTTGGATTATAATCCTTGAAAGCTAGATGGCCCCTCCATGACATTGTGCCTTCATCCAAACACATTTGTCTAAGGAATGTCTAATGTTTTGGGTTTATGTGCGAGATATTCCATGAATGTTCGAACTCTTATTAGTCAGTCTTGATTGTCTTTTGGAATAGCTTTATTGTTATAAGTATGAAAATACTTTTAAATCAGTTCATATCATTTTGAGTTGATATGTATATATATATATTATATATATATATTATATATATATATATATATATATATATATATATATATATATATATATATATATATATATATATATATATATATATATAAATAAAAAATATATGTCGTACCTAGTAGCCAGAACGCACTTCTCGGCCTACTATGCAAGGCTCGATTTGCCTAATAGGCAGAGTGATTTTCTTTATTTCCAATAAATTGTTTCCTATTGGTTTGTTTTTAATATTATTTTCATATTATATTAAGAACATAAATTATTGATTTAGTTATGTTAGGTTAGGTTAAGATAGGTTAGGTAGGGTTGGTTAAGTTTGGTCATATATCTACGTTGGTTTTAACTAAAATTAAAAAAAAATTAACTCATACATAATGAAATGAATAGCTTTATCATTTCATAAGAAAAAATTAGAAAAATATTGAAATTCTGGAAAACTTGGCTTATTATGCAAATCGGTCCTTGCATAGTAGGCAAAGAACTGTGTTCTGGCTACTAGGTACGACATATATATATATATATATATATATATAAAATATGCGAACAAGCCTGAATGGTCCCCAGGCATACATGCAACTGAAAACTCACACCCCAGAAGTGACTCGAACCCATACTGCTTGGAGCATTTTGCAACATTTGTTTTTCTTTTGCAACAAATTTTTTTGCAACATTTTGCACCATGGTTGGGAGAACCGGTCGGCCGAGCGGACAGCACGCTGGACTTGTGATCCTGTGGTCCCGGGTTCGATCCCGAGCGCCGGCGAGAAACAATGGGCAGAGTTTCTTTCACCCTATGCCCCTGTTACCTAGCAGTAAAATAGGTATCTGGGTGTTAGTCAGCTGTCACGGGCTGCTTCCTAGGGGTGGAGGCTTGGTCGAGGACCAGGCCGCGGGGGACACTAAAGCCCCGAAATCATCTCAAGATATCTCAAGATGGTCATATTTGTTGA